GTCTCTTCCATCGGGGCAGCTCGCTTCTCACTGTAGTCTGCTGGTCGCTCCAGTTCGACGTCTTCTGCCAATTTTTCTCTCCATTGAGGGTAGCCACATAACACTTCCGGGACTCGATCTGGTCGCCTCGTACTACCCCCACTTCGTAATCCGTTGGGAACTTCCTCGCGAGATAGTAAGTTGACACTACTATGCATAAAACATGCGTAATAGGCCGACCTATGATTGCGTTGTAGGGGGATGGAGTCGTGACCACCAAGAATGTGTGCTCGAACTGGACAATATTCAACCACATGCTCGCCTCCACTAGTACTGTGACGCGGCCTATAGACCTGACTTCCTCTCTGCTGAACCCTACTGGTGGGGCATCTATTGGTTTTAGATCGCTTTGCTGTAGTTGCAACTTGTCAAAGGTTCCTTTGAAGGGGATATTGGCTGAACTGCCTGAGTCCACCAGGGCGTCGTTATGAGGATACTGAATCCCACGGGCATCATCCTCGGTAAAGTAGATTGGTTCTTCGATTCGAGGTCGCTTGGGTGGGTTCTCTGCTTCATGCTTCAGTTCTCGAACTGATGTTTTCCCGGCTTCTAGTGTGCACCCTGCTACAATAGATCCTCCAGTGATCATATTAATTAGCCCACAAGACAGTCTTTTTTTCCGGCAGTGGGCGAAGTGGCTGCTCGTTCTGTCTACTGCTCTCTGAGGCATCTTTTTTTCGATCTCCCTATCGGTTCCCCTGTTCCTTTTCTTCACGCAAAATGCACTTCTTTAAGTACCCACGACGGATTAGCTCTTTGATTTCATCGCAGAGGTTTCTACAGTTTTTTGTGTTGTGACCATGGTCCAGATGAAAGTGACAATAGATGTTCGGGTTCCTGGTCGTTTGGTCTCCACGGAGCCTAGGTGGCCATCTGACGATAGAGGAGTCTTTGATGGCCATTAGGATCTCTCCTCGCTTCACGTTCAGGGGAGTATAGTTCGTTCTCTCCACTGGTGGAGTTCTGGAACGCCGACCTGACCTATAACTTCGTGATGGGGACTTACTCCTCGAGCTCGGGGACTTGCTTTTTTTTTTCTTTTTTTGTTGCTCGTTCCTTCTTCCTCTCTCTTCCTCTTTTCTCTTAGCTGGTTGTCGGCTTTCTGGTTTATCTCTTCTTCTGTGCTGATAAACTGATCGGCCAACTTGAGCAACTCGGTGATGTTCTTTGGCTTATTGGCCACGATGTGCCACTTGAGCTCTTTGTGGGTGATTCCTTTGCGCGTTGCGGTGAGACGTATTGCTGGGTCAAGGTCCGGTATCTACAGGCATGTCTCGTTGAAGCACTTGATGTAGCTCCGAATTGACTCTCCTTCCTTCTGCACCACATTCAGAAGACTCTCCTGTGACTTCAGACACTTCTTATTAGTGATGAAGTGGGCAGTAAACATATATGCAAATTGTTTCCAGCTTCTGATGGAACTCGGTGTGAGGTTTTTGTACTAGGTCTGAACTACTCCTCTAAATGTGGTGGAGAAAGCCACGCACATACAAGCCTCATCGGCCTTAGCGAGATGCATTTGGGACTGGAATGCTTCTATGTGATCGTTAGGATCAAAGGACCCATCGTACTTGTCTAGCGACAGTACCTTGAAATTGTTCGGCATTGGGGCCGCTGGGAGCTCGGGTGATAGGGGGAAGGCCGGCTCAAAAGAGAATGCGTTGTTCTTGTGGCCGCCGAGCTCACCTCCTCTCTTTCTTGACCTTGATCAGCTGGATCATTCCTAGCTGATGAACGGTGAGTCTTGCGGCGTCGCTGCTGCTGCTTCTTTGGTGGAGGGACGTTTGTATTGCCGACCTCTGTATTGTCAAGTACTTCTCTCTTACTCCGAATAGTAGGACGAGGTGGTCAGGGATTCTCCTCGCCGCTTCTTCTTCGTCGCATGCTCGGTGTTGGCTATTGCGCGGAACCGAGGGGTCTCTTCTCGAGCCCGCGCCTTTGGCCTTGAGCTAATGATCTTCATGAGAAACTTGCTGACTGTGCCTCTCGGGTTGGCTGGGTTTGGGCCTATCCCTCAAGCTCTCTCTTCAGGAAGCAGGGGGAGTATGTTGGTCGCCTACTGTACCCCACGGTGGGGTCCGTCCCGAGGGAGGGACCGGTACCTGCGAAGTTCTCTCCCCACAGGGGGAGACTGGTGGACATTCTATTGAGCCTGGTGCTGATTCTAGTTCTGGATTTGCCCTTGATGATGATTTATCGGCTGGCTTGGTTGCAGTGGTGGGAACTGCTGCTAATATTGTTGATAAAAATAGTACTGCTGAAATTGCTGGAACTGATGGATCTGCTTCATTTGGATCTACATCGTTTGAACGCTTTGGATGAGGTTGTTGAATTGGGAGTGTCCGACCCCAGGGGAATTCACGGAAGGCTCCGAGAACGTGGCGTTCACCTGGGGGAGCGGAACACTCACTTGTTGGGTAGTGTGTGGCACGAATAGTGATGGGACCCCGGAGGCGGTTGGGGGAATGGTGAACTGGCCGATAGTCACCGAGGATCCTTGGGGAGCGACTATCTGCTGCTCTTGCCCCCTAGTAATGTTCAAGTAACTCTTTTCGTTGTGGCTGGATGATGACATTGAGGTTGAAACTGGGTCTGAGATTGTAAGTAGAATTGGAATGACCTTTCGATCGTTCCCACAATTGGCGCCAATTGACGATGCGTGATCTGGAAGCTCCTAGTTGGATGAGTGCCTGGACGTACTCACGTGGTGAGCTGGATCAAACTGCAAAACAAGGATCAGAGCGACCAGGGTGGATGACTCGGGAAGGTCGCTTTGATGCTTAAGTCAGTGTTCTTGTAGTGGTTGCGAGCTAAAGTTTGAGTGCTAAAGAGTTTAAATATAAGTAATCACGCGTACTTGGACCCTGGAGGAGTTGATGCCCTTATATAGGTGAACTATCATGGGTCTCGCGAAACGGTTCCGGGATCTGTAGCTTGAGTGGATGAGATCTGTTTCCACTTTAATCGGGGAGTAACGTATCAGTCACTGAACTTTATTTTCGCCGCCCGATCCGGGCAGGGAGAGGACAAGGCCTGCCGTTACGCGACGTGATCCAGTGATATTCGAAGTCTGTTGGGAAGCTTCTAGAGTCGATTACGTGCCACTTTGGTTCTTGAGCCCCGAACTGGCTTAGGCACTAAGCTGCCTTTATGCCGAGGTGATTTTATGCCGAGGTGACTTTATACCGAGGTAACTCTATGCCGAGGTGGCCGAACATCCAAACTCTGAAAACTGCTGACTAGGCTCCCCTTGTTGAGTTGTCGTTCTTCGGGCAGATCACGTCCATGTAACCTTTACTTACTAGGTCGTGGCAAATTACCCCTCAGTTTCATTTTGTTTTTCTTGAACTATTGGAGAAAGGAGTGATCATTTTTATGTTTTAAGATGAAGAGAGATATTCATGTGAGTAAAATGAATCAAAAATATAAAAAAAAAATTTCTATGCTATTGAAATGATTCTTGTTATTTTAGATGTTTTCATTTGGAACAAATGGAGGTATTTTTAGTCAATTAGGGTTTAAAAGAAAATGACAAAGAAAAAAAGAAAACAAGGCTACATTTGTTTTTGTGTAAACTGTCATCAATGTAAAAGTACATCGATTGAATTCAACACTAATGAGTTTAAAATGTGTGAACTATTGAAACTTTTTAAAATGTGATAATCGATGTAAAAATCAACTGAGGGGGAGGTTTATACTGATTTTCGATATAAAACTTACGCCGAAAACAAACTTGTGGAAATACGGATAAAAAATGGTGTTTCGCACTGGTCCATATTTACACTGAAAAACAAACACAGTCTAAGGAAAGTTTAAGTGAGTATTTTGATAATTTAATGCATTCCGTCATCTAACTTTTAACTGTCAATGGGGTATTTATCGCAAAGTAAAAGTTCAAAAAGGTCTCTGTTACAAATAAAAGTCCAGGAAGGTATTTATCACTGACCCCAGTGCAATGGGGGTCATTGTTGTTTACCGTTATAAGAATTACCTACATCCACACATATAGGCAAATCTGGTTATAAGAATAAGATTAATTGTTCTAAGAAAATCTGTAATAGTATTTTTTCACTAGGGAGATGTATCCCATAAATCAAGAATGGACGTCCCGAAAATTGAGGATCTATGTTCATAAGGGTTTGGCAAAATGTTAATGTGTCGACCTGACACGACTCTCGTTTATTGGGGTTTAGAAGCTGAAGCGTGAAACAAGCTCATGACAGTGGCAGAATTAATAAGCATTTCCCATATCAATCCTTTAAAATGATTTCGTGGCCTTGTGCCAGCCACAGACGGACAGACCTAAGATGTGCAAGAGGCCAGAACTCGTCGACATAGTGCGGCTTTTTGGGCAGTGGTCGATGGCGCCCAATGACCGTAGGATTTTTCTGCTTATGCAAGGGATTTTTGCCATGTTCCTGAATTGTTAACATGAAAGCTATGGGTCCCCTTGTTTCCATTGGTGGTAGAGGTAGATTTAGATCCTCTCTCTCTCTTGTCTTGGGTGTATTCACTATTCAATGCTGATTTTCTTTTCTATTGAATCCAGAGCAGGAATCATCAATCAACCCTAGCTATCTGGTTATAGGGAGCCTACAACCGATCCCATGGTTTTCTTTGATTTCCTCCACAACTTGTTGCAAAATTCTGGGCACCCAACAGCCTTCTGGTCTACTCCAATTTGTATCAAACAAAACTCCTCGACCTCGACGTTGGAGACTATGGGCTCTCAGTCAAAAGCTGTGGGTCTTGTTGTTTTTGAGGCAAAAGGCGCGTTAACCGTTAGTTTACTTTAACATACTTGAATGCCACCCAGACCCAGGCCCATGGGCTGAAATATTATGGGCGGTTTGCTTTATGCCAGTGCCACCCACCTCCTGATCCTGAATATCAGATTTGAAAATGTTTCTAAGACTATTCCCAGCTCCCTCCACTTATCTATAAATAACCACCAACCCAACTTCCTTCCAATTCAAAAGTCTCGACAATCAAATTTTATTTTCTTCTGCTCTTCTTTGTTCTTGTGCGAAAATGAGCGTAGAAGTGTTGGATGGTTCCACCATTGTCAACTTTGTGGAGGACAAAGAAGCCTTCGAGGGCTCAGTTCATGACCGGTTTTCTCGTCTTGACACGGACCGTGATGGTCTTCTGTCATATGCAGAGATGGTGAAGGAACTTCAGAGTCTGAGGATCTTGGAGACCCACTTCGGAGTTGACGTCAAAAGAGATCCTGATGAGCTAGCTCTTGTCTACCGCTCTCTGTTCGGTCAGTTTGATCATGATTCGAGTGGAGCGGTGGACTTGGAAGAGTTCAAGGCAGAGACCAAACAGATGATGCTGGCCATGGCGAACGGACTGGGGTTCTTGCCTATCCAGATGGTACTGGAGGAGGACAGCTTCCTGAAGAAAGCTGTGGACTGGGAATCCTCTAAAATGATCACTGCTGCTTAAACTTTAAGTCGTTTCCTGGTTTTTGTTTTTGCTTGAATCCTTATCTTTCTTACTTATTCGGGTATTGATTGTTGAAGGGGAATTTCATAGGGAACGGGAATGAATTCATTAGCTATGAGAGAGAGTCCTAGCTAGTTTAAACATCTTGTTTTTATTATTTTTCATTGTTTCTTTGTCTTAGAGACCATTATGGAGAGTCTCATTTTTGAAATGCAATTTATTTTGAGTTGAGATTAGTATTATATATTGCTGCTTTAAGATTACTCTTATCAGCCACCGACTCAATCAATTTTTCTTATTCTCAGAGGAAAATATTACAAGCAAAATACAAAACTTAACGCCTTAATACAGTATTAGAAGCTTTGTGTTCCTGATTCCTACCAAAAGAAAAAGTAAAATATAGTGTAACCCCATTCTTAATGTTCACTTTGATCATTTTCTTTGCCAAGGTAAATTTAGTGTAACCCCATTGTTATATGGGCCCTGATTTCATGTGATGGCATGGATCCTATGAAATTTTTTCACCACAAAGCTCATGGACAGAATAACCACTTTTAGAGTATTTGTTTGGCTTGTCAATAAACAAGAAGCAATTATGCATAAAATATATAAAGAAGGGACAAAATGGCAATGCTCACAGGCTGACATACAGTATAGCTATCATGCATGCATTACTCAAATATGACAAGTCCTTATCCTGTGTTTGGTTGCAATGCAAATAAATTTGCACTGATGCAAAATCATGGCAGTGCAAATGATTTGAGTATAAATTTTAATTTAGTTTTGTTTTAAATTTTAACTTATTTTGCTTGATTGCAGTGCAAATGAAGTACATTAAGACATGAATCAGAATAACATAAAATCTAAAACAAAAATTAAATAAGAATTTGCATTTTTTATATTTGCACTTCCATGCATTTGTTCTGGTGCAGTAAAATTGCACTGCAACCAAACACAACCTTAGTAATTAAAACCACCACGGGGTTTAGACATATATGACGAATTGTTTGTTGTTTGAAAATAGAATACTTTCTCCAGATGTGAAGCATGACGTTAGTGATCATGGTTTTAAAATCTTCATTGATCCGGATAGTTGAACTGTTTGACCCATGAATTAGTTACCTATCTGATTTCATTTTCACATTGGTCCCAATTTTCTAAAAAAACATTGAATTGGTCAACAAATTGCGGATCTCTGAACAATTGAACCACTAAATAGAATTCACATCTGTGCCTCACAACGAGTCACAAGAAACATCTCCTGATGATAATACCAGAAATGATGATGTCATTTTTGGAAGATATTCTTAATACACGGTAGGGATGTGCTGTGGGACGTTGTGGCGTGCAGATCTGAACTCCACTAAACAATCCAGACAACAGTTTCCAAGCTATTTTTATTTAACTATTTAATTTTTTAAATTTAAAAAAGAACATGGTCTAATCTATTCAGACCAAACAATTAAACCGTTTGACCCAAAAACCTGTGACCAAAACCGTTCTGTTTTTAGGTTGATTTTTATAACCTTGTTAGTGAACACTGAACCTATTGTGGAAAGTGATTCTGATACTTGATTAATTAATGTCTAAGGCTCCCTAAAAATTAGGGAGAATGATAGTTCAGCCCAGGGTCAAAACGTATAAGCTTAAAGTACTGTTAGGATAGATGCCAACTCAGAATTGATGCCAATTTATAAACATTGGTGACATTTTGAATGTTTATAACTCTGCAGTGAAAATCAGAAATGTACATTGAGGCTGTTGGTACTTTTCCATAAATATTATCACTAAGAGATGGATGATTTCAACCACCCGGATTCAAGAATTATTTTCAAGAATTTCTAAGAATTGCTTGAGAAGTTGCAGTCACCATCCAAACGTCGGAAGAAAGAAATTGTGATTATTAAGGTGTAATTAATGCAAATGGTAGTACGATACATTGAATGCAACCTAGGGTGTAAATTTCGGCCTGATATACAACCTAGGGTCTTCATTCCAAACACTAAAATGCATTCATGAATGGCCTAAAAAGAAGGAAAAGGCAGCCCCTTGATTTTATACTGTAGGGGCCCAGTCCAATACCATGAGTCCTGTTGTTTTTGACGAGGACCCATTTTTCAGTTAAAACTTGAATTGCCCTCCAAGCACACGCACCATCTAACTAAGAACCTTTTAGTTTTAGGTTGCTCAGTTCGGGGCCCGAGCGGTCACACATTGTATGGTGGTATGTATTTAAACTTGGCATTCGAGTTGCCTTAGATTTTTCTTTATACTAATACTTGTATTCTTCTTTTGCCAGGTGAACTCCTTTATTCACACTTTCTCCTACCAGTCCGAGGTGAAATTAAAGCGAGCTCCCAAAGCCAAAGAGTCTTCCAGAAGTGCCCACTCCAAGCTCAACTTAGCTCGTAACGAGATCAACCTACTGAAAAATGACGCACGACCTAAGAAGGAGCTGCTGACTCTGTTGATGACAGAGAAGAAAGAGCTCGAGGAGCGCGAGGCGGCACTGAAGAGGGAGATCGAGAACCTCGAGGCTCATGTGAAGGAGCGGAATGAAATCCTGCATCAGGCAATGGAGGAGGCCAAGGTCAAGGTGGTCGAGGAGTATAAGTCTTTGGCGGAGCTTTGAGAAAGATTGGTTGAGGCTGGGACAACGGGCTACAGCAAGGGGTTTAAGCTCAGTAGGTGGTTGACCTGACGTGAATTTCCCCACCTCGACCTCAGTGCCATCACCACGTCCAAGATCACCAAGGAGGTGGCCGTTGAAGCTGCCTTGGATCCGAACTCTGAGGCGGAGAGTGACGACGACCTATTGATATCGAGGGAGAGGAGGCTGATGCCGCCGAGGACCGTATAGAGACAGATCTACCTGCTGAAGTCTCCGTTAAGGATGAGGAGCCCCGAACTGACTGATGCCTCTTTTCTTGGACCCCCTTTGTAAATACTTGATTTTCCGAGCCTCCAAGCTCGACTAAATAGTTGTAAACTTTTTTCCTTTTTGTACTCAAAGCATTTTATCAATAAAATACAAGTACTTTGCAAAACTCCTTGTGTGCAAAATTTTCCAAAGTGTAGATTTCTCCCGAGCTTGTGAGTTGAACCGTATATGAGTGAAATTTTTCTAAGTAGAGATTACTCCTGAACTTGAGACTACTCCCGAACTCGAATAGGAACAATCGTAATTGTATGCCGGGGCGAGTAGACACTATAGGGTATACACGTCTGACCTATCTACACCCGGGCTACTTTGTCTTACCCATGCCAAAGCGACTGGGTTCTAATGAGCCTGTGTCGAATAGGCGACTGGGTCATAAATAGCCTAGGTCGGAGAGGCGACCAGGACTTATTGTAGTGCCGAGATCTTCTGTCAGCTCGGCACCGCGGCCCTTAGGCTTTTGGGAGTGACTCATAGTCCTCTCTCCAGCACGTTGTCCATAGGATCAACTCGATGATCTAAGGACTTAGCCGTTTTTTGCTTGTATTGAGATTTACATGTAGTATCTCCTTAAGTTGTCGATGTTCCATGGTTGAGGTACCCGCTTCCCTTCCAAAGTCTCGAGCTCATATGTGCCTTCCCCATACACCTGTCTTATACGGTACAGACCTACCCAGTTCTGTCCGAGCTTATAGTACCGAGATACTCTTTGTTGACACGAAACTGTCGCTTCTTGACACAAACAAGCATTATAGTACCGAGCTACTCTTTGTTGGTATGCCGTAGTCTGGATGTAGGCCAGGTCTTGCACCTCCTCTACCAGGTCTAAGTTGGTACGGAGCTCGTCATTATTTGCTTTCTCATCATAAGCTTCTAGTCGCAACGTGGGTACTTCGATCTCTATCGGGATCACCGCCTTTGTACCATATGTGAGGTTGAAGGGGGTCTCATCCATCGTGGTTTTGGTGGTAGTTCGGTAGGCCCAAAGAACGCTGGGCAACTCGTCCACCCACAACCCTTTAGCTCGCACAAGGTGAGCTTTCAGTCTGTGGAGGATAGCCCTATTCGTTACTTTGGCCTGCCCGTTTACTTGTGGATGTGCTGCCGAAGTGAAGTTCTACTAAATCCCCTTCTCGGCGCACCAGTTCTGGAATTTGATGTCTTCAAATTGCTTCCCGTTATCCGAAATTAGGACTTTGGGCAGTCCGAAACAGCACATGATGTTTTTCCAAAAGAAATTTTGCACATTCTGGGCTGTAATACTTACCAACGGTTCGGCTTCCACCCACTTCGTGAAGTAGTCTACTGCCATGACTAATAACTTCCTCTGCCCAGTTGCCGATAAAAAAGGACCGAGGATGTCGATTCCCCACATCGCGAAGGCCCACGGGCTAGTAAGACACTTCAAATCGACAACAAGCTGACGGAGGATTTTGGCATGCCTTTGACATCTATCGCATTGATGTCTGTCTTCAGTGTGGGCTAGTAGTAGGCTTGCCTTAATGCCTTTTGGGCGAGGGCCCTACCCCCCGTGTCCTCCGCATAAACATTCATGGATATCGCGTAGTACAAACTCAGCTTTTGAGGGTCGCAAGCAACGTAGGTAGGGGAGCGTGAAGGATCTTTTATACAATTGTCCGTCTATGAGGACATACCGGGCCAATTGACTCTCTGCCCTTCGAGCTGTATTGCATTCTGCAGGTAGGGTCCTGTGCAACAGATAATCAACGAGCGTGTCAATTCAGCTCGTTTCCGCTTGCAACATGGTAGCGACCTCTTCTGCTCCCCCGAGAATGCTGGGCCGAGGTAAGTCCTCTATGTACATAGTTTGCATAGTGTTGTCGCTCGTGCTTGCTAGTCATGATAAAGCATTGGCCTTAGCGTTCTTGGACCTCGGGATTTGCCTGATGAAGCAAGAACTGAATCCTGGTAGAATCTCTCTGACTTTGGTTAAGTAGGCTGCCATAGTCGAGTTACAAGCTTTAAAGTCACCATTGACTTGGTTAACCACCAGTTGAGAGTCGCTATAGACAATGAGGTGATTCATTCCCATTTCTTTCGCTAAGTTGAGCCCGACAATTAGCGCCTCATACTCTGCCTCGTTGTTCGACGCCTCGAATCCGAACCAGAGTGCGTAATCCATCTTCACCTCGTTCAGGCCGTACAATATCAATCCCACAACGCTTCCTTGCTGGTTAGACGAGCAGTCAACATGGAGGATCCAGGGCTCCTCATCCCAGGTCGGTACTGCTCTGACCGGGACCGATGCCGCACTGGTTGACACCTCCGATGTGCGAGCGAGCTTTGTCAGTTTAGGGGCCGGTGTGCTGAACATGCATTCTACTATGAAGTCCACCAAGACTTGGGCTTTGATTGCTGGTCGTGGCTCGAGCCGGATGTCGTATTCGCTAAGCTCAATTGACCAGTTCGTCAATCTCCCAGACACCTTGGGCTTAAGTAGGATGTACCTCAAAAGTCTATCTGTAAGGATGACGATGGTATGGGATTGGAAGTATGGACGTAATTTTCGAGCTACTACCACTAGCGCGTACGCCAGCTTCTCGATGTCGGGGTATCTGGTTTCTGCATCCTGCAACACTTTACTTACATAGTAGACGGGTTGTTGAACTCGGTCTACCTCTCTGATTAGTACCGAGCTGACTACCTCGTCACTCGCGAAGAGGTACAACTTCAACACATCTCCTTCCTTAGGTCGGGTTAAAACTGGGGCTGTACTTAGGTACCATTTTAGCTCGTCAAACGCGAACTGACACTCTCCAGTCCATTCAAAAGTCTCATTATTTTTAATTGCCTTAAAAAAGGGGAGGCACCGACCCGCCGATTTAGACATAAACCTGTTTAAGGCAGCTACTCAGCTAGTTAGTCGTTGTACCTCCTTGATTTTTTGGGGTGGTTGCATCTCTAAGATAGCCTTGATTTTGTCCAGGTTTGCTTCGATGACACGTTGGTTGTTTATACAACTGATGAACTTGCCCGGCGTGACGTCGAAGATACATTTATTTGGATTTATCTTCATATTATATTTCCTTAAAATTTGAAAAACAACATCTAAATCGTTAACTAAAAATCTAGAAAACGGGGTCTTCACGACCATGTTGTCAACATAACACTCCACTTTATTGCCAATCAAAGGTTCAAAAATTTTGTTTACAAGTCATTGGAAAGTTGCTCCAGCATTTTTTAAACCATAGGGCATAATTTTATAACAGTATAGCCCAAGTTCGGTTACAAAACCAGTTTTGTCTTGGTCAGTTGTGTCCATCATAATTTGATTATAGCTAGAGTAGGCGTCCATGAAACTCAACAACTCATGCCCTATGGTCGGGTCTACCAGACGGTCAATTCTGGGTAGCGGAAGCAATCCTTTGGGCAGGCTTTGTTCAGGTTGGTGTAGTCGACGCACATGTGCCACTTGCCATTGGCTTTCTTCACCAGCACTGGGTTTGCAACCTAACTCGGGTAGTGGTCCTCCCTGATGATGTTTGTGGCGAGGAGCTTCTCGACCTCCTCATCGACTACCCTCCACCGCTCCGAGGCGATGTTGCGTTTTCTTTGTCTGATTGGCCTAACAAGAGGGTCCACATTAAATTTGTGAGTTATGACGGTAGGGTCAATTCTAGGCATTTCTGCTGCGGATCAATCGAAAATATTTAAATTATTAAGTAAAAAATTACTAGCTATGTTCGGAGCCCTGGGTCAGAATTTATAGGCTTAAATTTCTGTGTTAGGATAGATGCCAACTCAGAATTGATGCCAATTCATAAACATTGGTGACATTTTGAATGTTTATAACTCTGCGGTGAAAATCATAAATGTACATTGAGGCTGTCGGTTCTTTTCCATAAATATTATCACTAGAGAGATGGATGATTTCAATCACCCGGATTCAAGAATTATTTTCAAGACTTTCTAAGAATTCTTTGAGAAATTGCAGTCCCCATCCAAACATGGGAAGTAGAAAGAAATTGTGATTATTAAGGTGTAATTAATGCAAATGGTAGTACGATACATTGAATGATGGGTGTATCTAAAAAAACAAGAATAATAGGTTTTGAATCTATAAATATGGTACGTGTGTAAATTTCGGCCTCATATACAATCTAGGGCCTTCATTCCAAATCCTAAAATGCATTCATGAATGGCCTAAAGAGAAGGAAAAGGCAGCCCCTAGATTTTATACTGTAGGGGCCCAGTCCAATACTATGAGTCCTGTTGTTTTTTACGAGGACCCATTTTTCAGTTAAAACTTGAATTGCCCTCCAAGCACACGCACCATTTAATTAAGAAATCTTTTAGCTTTAGGCCTTTTAGTAATATTAACTTTTTTGAATAGAAGATAAGAGGATTTGAGATTGTTTATTTTTTTTGTCAACATTTGGATGGTTAATAAAAAATAATTAGATAACAATTGAAGGGTATTTATGTCTTTTCAAATAGCACTTAACAACTGGTTAATGGGTTGGTTATCCACAGGTACTAGATTGACATGTTTTAAAAGTTCAAGTACTAATTGTTATGTTTTAAAATTGGGGAACCAAAGTGGCCCTATGCCCAAATTTTAAGGTACTAATCAGGAATTTTCCCTAATACGCAAAGCAACAACAGATTCCATTATATTGTTTATTGCAGGCCTATTTTCATGGGCGGTTTGATCTCAGCCATTGATGACTAAAAAGTAGTGTTTACCTTCTTGGAGTTTCTACGTATCTATAAATAACGAGGGAAGGCCCAACTTCCGTCCTACTCAAAAGTCAAGACCCACATTGTTTTGAGTAGTGAGGGTGGGAAGAGAAAGATGAGTGTAGAATTGTTGGATGGTGCCACCATTTTCAACTTTGTGGAGGACAAACAGGCCTTCGAAGACTCGGTTCATGACTCGTTTGCCCGTCTCGACACAGACCATGATGGTCTACTCTCGTATGCAGATATGGTGAAGGAGCTCCGGAGCCTGAGGATGTTTGAAACCCACTTCGGCGTTGACGTCAAGTCGGATCCAGATGAACTAGCCAAGGCCTACCGCGCTCTGTTCTGCCAGTTTGATCATGATTCTAATGGGGCTGTAGATTTAGAGGAATTTAAGGCTGAAATTAAACAAATGATGCTGGCCATGGCGAATGGACTGGGATTCTTGCCTGTCCAAATGGTCCTCGAGGAGGACAGCTTTCTTAAGAAAGCTGTCGAATGGGAGTCGGCCAAAATCGTTGCTTAGAAATCTTTCATCAACTACTCTTTTAACTTTTAAGCCTCTCTCTCTCTCTCTCTCTCTCACATTTTTGTTCCGTTTCACCATGAAGTGATTAAACATTCTACTTTTCCTTCTTTGGCGTCTCAATAACGCCATTCTATTTTGGATATCTTTTTCTTACAAATTCTATGTGAATTCAGAATAAAAGTTCTTGCTTAATTTGCATGCATTTTATATAAAGTATATTGTTACCATTAACAAGGTATATTAATTATTGTGTTGGATCAATCATGTTTTTTGTTGAATGTTGAAGATATAACGGATATATCATAGATTTCGCCTAATTTTATTAAGAGTTATTATCTAAAGTTTCCTTCCACATTTTCTTATCCTTCTCTTAATGGCGTCTGAACCGATGGGTTTGCTTTTATTCATTTACATTTGAGTTTGCTGAAGCTTGAGCTGCATGAAAAGCTACAAAAGCACACTCAATTTTAATAATTCGCCATTTCTAAGCTTGTCATAGACTGCTTATAATGTCATTAATTAGAATATATACCTGAACTGCTAAACATTCTTCTGGGTCAATTATAGTGTTATCTATTTTCGTGCATTTCTTTAAGCTAACCAAACAACAGATTGATTAATGCATTAAAATTATTTAGTCCCTTGCTCTTAATTGTTTGTGATAAAAATAAATGTCTGGAAAAATATGTATTCCCATTTACTCCAAAAACAAACAGTGTTAAAGAAAGTCAAATTTGAATGAAAATATATTCCATTGGATCCGATTCGATCTCCTTTAATAGCTTAAAACTTCCGGTAGGACGCCCAATGTATTCGAGGCATACTTTTTGGCCGGTTAAAAGCAAGGCAAGCAAAGGCCTTTAGTCCGCCTATCAAGAAAACTAGTCATGATCGATCGATGATAGATAGTGTGTGGCTTCAAGCCTTAATATGAATGAATAATCAATTCAATCCTGAAACAAAAGGATCAACAACGCGTGCCGACACCGATAACATGCATTGATTTATTCGTTTTGAGCTTTACGTTACGTCTCAGCTGTGGCCTGTGGCTGTGGGGACGCAAAGATCCTTCTTGGACGTGTTTTAGGTTTAGGCGCCATGTTGATCCGTTCATCCGGTCGCTAGTAAAAAACTGTTTAATTGGTCAACGATTCGTTTATTTGAGCGGTTGAACCGTCGACCCGTTGACCCATTCAATGGTTTTGGGGCATTTTTTATTTTATTTTTTTAATTAGGAACCATCCAGGCAATTGGTTTTGTTTTATCCTAATCTCGATCCATGGCCAAACATCGTTGAACCGGTCAACAACCCATTGACCCATGCAGTTGAACCGTTGACCTGTTCAATGGTTTTTGGTCGTTTTTTTTTTTTATTTTTAATTTTTGTTGTCAGAACGGACCATTTGTTCGAACCGAATAGTCGGACCATCAATCTGAAAACCGATGGTTAGAATGGTTCTGTTTTCAGGTCATATGAGTCACACGTTTGAATGGAATCATCTAGGCAACAATTTTTTGCCTGTACATTTTTTTTTTGTCAGAACGGGTCATCCATTTTTTTATTTTTTTAAATTTGGAATCATCTAGGCAACCATTTCTGTTTTACCCCAACCCTAGTCCCTAGCAAAAAACCGTTGAATCCGTCAATGACCTATTGACCTGAGTGGTCAAACTGTTAACCCGTTGACCCGTTCAATGAACGGGTCATCCATTCGAAACGGACGGTCGAACCATCAACCCAAAAACTGGTGGCCAAAACAATTCCATTTTAGGGTTGTATGGTTCTGTAATTTTTTGCTTGTAATTTTTGTTGGCCAAAACACGCTTAATGAACCTCACACACTCAATTTTTTGCTTGTAATTTTTGTTGTCAAAATGGGTTGTCCATTTGAACCGAACGATCAAATCGACGACCCGAAAACCGGTGGCCATAATGGTTCCGTAATTTTTTGCTTATAATTTTTTGTTGTCAGAATGGGTTGTCCGTTTCGAACCGAATGGTCGAATCGTCGACCCAAAAACCAATAGCTAGAACAGTTTCGTTTTCAGGTCATATGACTCACACGCTCGAATGACATAACACGTATGATACTACTTAATGGACCTCACAAACTCAATTTTTTTGCCTATACTTTTTGTTGTCAAAACAAACTGTCCATTTGACCCGGACGATCAAACCATCGACCCGGAAACTGGTGGCCAGAACGGTTTCGTAATTTTTTGCTTATAATTTTTGTTGTCAGAATAGGCCATCCGTTCGAATCAGACGGTTGCACTGTCGGTTGTCAAAACGTTATTAGCAACAATTATTAATAATAGTAAGTAATTATAGTATTTAATTAAATAATCATTAATGATAGTTTTAATAATATCATTTAGTTATTTTTAATATAACAATAAATATTAAATTTATGATTAGGATTTATTAACAGTAATAGTCAATAATTATAACATGTTATTAAATAATCAATAACAATACTTTTAATAACATTTTTAATTATTTTTAATATAACAATAACTACTAAATTTATTAATAACAATATTTATAATTTTAATTTAAAGTAAATATCTATTTATTAATAATATTTATAATAATAGTAATTATTAATTATAATCACTAATTATATATTTATTAAATTACTGTAATAATAAGTAATTTAATAGTATTTATAATTTTAGAGTAAATATCTAGTTATTAACAATATTTATAATAACAGTAATTATTAATTATAATCACTAATTATATTTTTATTAAACTACTGTAATAATCAATAATTATTAAATTACAGTAATTAATTACTGTAATAATCAGTAAATTCCATTAATTAAATTATAGTAATTAATTACTGTAATAATCAGTATATCTATTAATTACTGTAATTAATTACAGGGTTGCTCTCACGTGGGAATTTACTCGCAGATTCCATTTCCTTTAGGGAGAGAGCAGCCCTATAATTAGTGATTATAATTAATAAGAGACATAAAAATGTCCAAAATATCCATATAATTACTTTGACCAAAATGATTATTTTTCAAATCTTTGTATAAATCACTAAAACTGCAACTTTAAACTCTCTCTCTCTCTCTCTTTTTTTTTTGTTGTTCATAAAGTTTGTATTGTTTTTATTATATAAACCAGCTTCATATTAATTGCATGTATGTTTTGGACATTTCCGTATCTCTTGTTAAAGGCTCTTAACAAAAGCATCTAATTGCAACTGTCAAAAAGTTCAAGGGAGGTAATTGCAAATTACCAAAGTTAAGGGGAAGTTTCAGCAATGATGAGAAACTTTAGGGGAGGAGAGGTTTCAGCAATTTAACATAAAATCAATGTTTTAGAATTGCCATTGACCTGGATGGTCAGAACATTCGGACCAGAAACCGCTTAAGTAATCAGTTCTGTTTTACTCCAAATCCGGTTCTCGATAAAAAACTGTTGGATTGGTTAATGGCCCATTTGAACTAGGTAGTCAAACTGTTGACTCAGAAACCGGTGGCCAGGACGATTCCGGTTCCAAGTCAGTTTTTAAAACATTTCCTAAAATAAACAGAAATAACAAACAACGATTACTTTGTTGCCATATAGAGCAAACATTTTTTTTGTACAGCCTATTTATTTTGTATTCATATTATCTTTCCATAAGAAGATTGTATAGCTGTAGGTAGAGATAAATTAGCCTTAAATCTCTGTAAATCAGTATAGCTGTAGGTAGAGATAAATCAACCTTAAATCTCTGTAAATCAGTATATCTATAGGTAGAGATAAATCAGCCTTAAATCTATGTAAATCAGTATAGCTGTAGGTAGAGATAAATCAGCCTTTAATTACTGTATATTCAGCTATATATTCAAGGAAATCAGAATGAAAAGGCATTGAGCCATTCAATCAAAATTCTTTCAAAGCAAAAGTTATCATGGTATCAGAGCCCTTGTCTTAGAGTTTTGGAATTTCTGGTTATTCTTGGGTGTTGGAACTTTAGGCCGCTATAGATTGCAAGCTCCATCTGTGTGATTTTTTTTTAGAAAGCTCACGTATTTTGGTAATATTTTTTTCCCAATCATATTTTGGGTTGCTTATCTCTCTACATTTGTCTTGTTTTCTATTGAAAATGGCTGGTAACCACTCTGAATTTTGTGTTAAATTTATGGGAAAAAATTATTCGGCATGGGAATTTCAATTCCGTTTATATGTTACTGGAAAAGAGTTATGGGGACATATTGATGGTACTACTCCAGCTCCAGCAAATGCTACTCAATTGGCTCAATGGAAGATCAAAGATGCTAGGGTGATTGGATTATCGGGTCATGTGATTCTCAAATTGTTCTTAATTTATGCCCCGATAGAAGTGCTCAAACCATGTGGGAATATTTAAAAAAACTTTATAATCAAACAAATTCAGTCAGGAGATTTCAATTGGAGTGTGAAATTGCAAATTATACACATGGGAGTCTCTCTATTCAGGATTACTACTTTGGTTTTCAAAATTTATGGGCTGAATTTTCTGATATAGTGTGTGTTGCAGTGTCTAAAGATTCTCTTGCTAATGTATCGGTTGTTCATGAGATTAGCAAGCGCGATTAGTTTTTGATGAATCTACGATCAAATTTTGAAAATGCTCGTTCTAATTTGATGAATCGTCATCCTCCTCCTACCTTGGATGTGTGTTTCAGTGAATTGCTTCGTGAGGAACAATGTCTTCTTACACAAACCACTCTTGAACAGGAGAAAATGACTACAACTCACATGGCATTTTCGGCTCATGGAAAAATTAAGGGTAAAGATATGAGTAAGGTTCAATGTTTTAGTTGCAAGAATTATGGGCATATTGCAGCAAATTGTACCCAGAAATTTTGCAATTATTGCAAAAAGCATGGGCACATCATCAAAGATTGTTTAACTCGCCCTCAAAATCGTCAAAACACTACTTTTCAAGCAACAATTGACAATTCTTCTACAGATCAGATTCAAATTGGGTCCTCAATTATGTCAGCAGTCAATCAAAATGCTCAATCCACCGTTCTTACTCCTGAAATGGTGCAACAAATGATAGTTTCAGCCCTCTCAGCTCTGAGACTCCAAGGTAATGGTAATTCTTTATCTAAGTCTTGGCTTGTTGATTCTGCCGCATCAAATCACATGACTAGTTCTGCTAATTTGCTACAAAATGTCTGGTCCTATCAGGGTTCAGAAAATATTCAACTTGCTAATGGAATCATTTGCCCATTACTGGTGTTGGTGATATTACTCCAGTTTTCAACAATGCTTTTATATCACCTGGACTTTCTGATAATTTTCTTTCAATTGACCAATTAGTAGAAAATAATTATAGTGTCCATTTTTCTCGTAATGGTTGTTGTGTGTAGGATCAGGAATCGGGGACGGTGATCGCAAAGGGGCCTAAAGTCGGACGTTTATTTCCTCTGCATATTTCCATTCCTAGTAATGTTTCTTTAGCATGTTCTGCTATTATTAATAAAAATGAGGTGCGGTATAAACGTTTGGGACACCCCAATTCTACTATATTGTCTTATTTGTTGAATTCTGGTTTATTAGGCAATAATAATAAATTTTCAAGCCTTTCTTTTGATTGTTCAACTTGTAAATTGAGAAAAAGTAAAATTCTTCCTTTTCCTCTTGTCGGTAGTCGTGCAGATAAATGCTTTGATTTTATTCATAGTGATGTATGGGGGATTACACTCGTTATTTCTCATGCACATTATAAGTATTTTGTGACATTTATTGATGACTATAGTCGATTTACTTGGGTTTATTTTCTTCGTTCCAAATCTGATGTTTTTTTCGGTCTTCAAGACTTTTGTTGCGCATGTTGAAACTCAATTTTCTACTGTCATCATAGTTCTTCGATCTGATTCTGGTGGAGAATATATGTCTCATGCACTTCATGATTTTTTAAATGAAAAAGGTATTATCTCACAACGTTCTTGTCCACACACACCTCAACAAAATGGTGTGGCGGAGAGAAAGAATCGTCATCTCTTAGAAGTTGCTCATACTTTGCTACTTGAGTCTTCCGTTCCCCCTCAGTTTTGGGTAGAAGCTTTATCTACAACAGTTTATCTTATTAATAGACTGCCTTCTCAAACTCTAAACCTTGAGTCTCCTTATTTTCGTCTTTATCAACAACATCCTCAGTATGGGCATTTACATACATTTGGTTGTGTTTGTTTCATTCATTTGCTTCCTCTTGAACGTCATAAACTTTCTACTCAATCTGTTATGGGATATAGTACAAATCATAAAGGTTTTGTTTGTTATGATTCTTCTTCTAAGAAGCTCCGTGTTTCTCGCAATGTTGTTTTCTTTGAAAATAAGTTTTTCTTTCCAACTTGTGATCAGTCATTCTCCGATATTGCTATTCTTCCTAATTTTGATGAATCATTTTCTTCTCCTGGACGATTCAAGCCTGGATATGTGTATGAACGATGTCATTCACCACCGCCCCTTCCGACTCCAGATCTGTCACCTGATCCTGCCCCGGCTATCTTGAGACACTCCACTAGAGTCTCCCGTCCTCCTAATTGGTATGGCTCCTATCATACATCCTTTAGTGCTGCTTTGTCCTCTGTTTCGGTTCCATCTTCTTACTCACAGGTAGTTAAGCACGAGTGTTGGCAACAAGCAATGCAAGAAGAACTTTGAGCTCTTCAAGATAATCATACATGGGATATTGTTCCATGTCCACCCAAAGTTAAACCTATTGGGTGTAAGTGGGTTTACTCAGTGAAACTTCGTTCTAATGGGACTCCAGAGCGCTATAAGGCTAGGTCGGTTGCTCTTGGTAATCGACAGGAATATGGGGTGGATTATGAGGAGACATATGCTCCGGTGGCTAAAATGACTATTGTGCAAACAATCCTTGCCATTGCTGCTTCACATGGTTGGCCACTTAAACAAATGGATGTCAAAAATGCTCATGGTTTGTTTTCCTCTTCTACTTTGGAAGTTTATAACTAGAATCGCTCATTGTATGGCTTAAAACAAGCTCCTCGTGCATGGTTTGAGAAGTTCAGATCTACCTTGCTACAGTTTAAGTTTGTGCAAAGTCAATATGACTCTTCTCTATTCCTTCATTGAACTTCTACTGGAATTGTCCTTCTTTTGGTCATTGTTGATGACATAGTTATAACAGGAACATATTCTTTATTGATTACTCAGCTTCAACAGCATCTTCAAGAGTCCTTTCATATGAAGGATCTTGGCCACGTTACATATTTCTTGGGATTGGAAGTTCATGCACTCTCCCCGTCATTTTCACTTGGTTGCAATTTGTCGCATCATAAGATATCTTCGGGGTACTCCATGTCGTGGTTTATTTTTTCCCACTGGGTCTTCTCTGCGCCTTAGTGCTTTTAGTGATGTCGATTGGGTTGGCTGCCCAAATACTCGTCGCTCTGTTACAAGTTGGTGTATGTTTCTTGGGGATTCTTTGATCTTGTGGAAGAATAAGAAACAAGATCGGGTCTCTAAATCTTCTACTGAATATGAATATTGGGCTATGTCTGCTGCCTGCTTTGAGATTAATTGGCTTCGAGGATTGTTGACTAAGATTGGATTTCCTCAATCTAATCCCACTCCTCTACATGCAGATAATACCAGTGCTATTCAAATTGTTACTAATCCAGTCTACCATGAGCCCACCAAGCACACTGAAGTTGACTGTCATTATGTTCGAGATGCTGTAAATACTCAAGTTATTTCTCTTCCACATATTTCCACAGCTTTGCAAATTGCCGATGTGTTTACCAAGTCTCTTACTCGACAGCGCCATCAATTTCTTATTGGCAAATTGATGCTTCTTGATCAACCAACATCAATTTGAGGGGGGATGTTGCCATATAGAACAAACATTTATTTTGTACAGCCTATTTATTTTGTATTCATATTATCTTTCCATAAGAAGATTGTATAGCTGTAGGTAGAGATAAATCAGCCTTAAATCTCTGTAAATCAGTATAGCTGTAGGTAGAGATAAATCAGCCTTAAATCTCTGTAAATCAGTATAGCTGTAGGTAGAGATAAATCAGCCTTAAATATCTGTAAATCAGCCTTAAATATCTGTAATTGAGCCATTCAATCAAAATTCTTTCAAAGCAAAAGTTATCCAGCTGTTGTCCAAGCGTGTGAAAGTGTAATTAATGGTCGTATTCTGGGGGTATAAATAAAAACATCATATCATGGCTGAAATGCAACCGCCCCTAACAACCTGCCCGTTGCATATATGACCAAGCTGGTGCCTGGCGGGGGTTGGTAAGTGGGCGCGGGACCGATCAGTCTGAACTCTCGACTCGACTGCATTTCTTGGATGGCGGTGGCCAAGTTGCCAAGCCTGCAGTGCAGTCAGTGGCCCCAGCACTAAGTACAGCCCATCACTGGTGGACTGGAGCGGCCCAGATCAAAACCGTGGGTTCTGTTGTTTTTGAAGGGAAAGGCGCGTTAGAAGTTAAAACCGTTAAATTTTGAATGGCCCCTATACGTCTATGGCTATTGGCTACTACTATTTAACTTATCGACCATTTGAGATTTGACCTTATTTTATTTATAAGAACATATGCGAATATACGATACTTGGACTCTACTCAAACTCAAAGCAGCATTTATGTTAACAATACCACGCACCAAGCCCACTGGCCATCAATCGTATCATCGCCATTTGATTTCAGGTAGCACTCTCGCCCAAAGAATTGAGAGGATTCAAAGGTCCTACTGTGCTACTCTAGTCTACTCTAGTCCTCTTACTCTCTAGACTCCACCCATATCTATAAATAACCACAGGGACAACGCCTCTCCTACTCAAAGCCTCAAAGCGCTAAGTGATCTTCTGCTCTTCAACTCTCATAATCTTCTTCTTTTATCTCATTCAAGCTATCTTAGTAGAGAAATCAACATGAGCGTGGAAGTATTGGACGGTGCCACCATCTTCAACTTCGTGGAGGACAAAGAGGCCTTCGAAGGCTCGGTTCATGACCGCTTTGCTCGTCTCGACACGGACCATGACGGTGTATTATCATATGCCGAGATGGTGAGGGAGCTCCAGAGTCTGAGGATCTTCGAGACCCACTTCGGCGTTGACGTCGAGACAGACCCCCATGAGATAGCTATTGCCTATCGTGCCCTGTTCGGCCGATTTGACCGTGATTCCAATGGGGCGGTGGACTTGGAGGAATTCAAGGCGGAGACCAAGCAGATGATGCTGGCCATGGCGAATGGGTTGGGATTCTTGCCCATTCAAATGGTACTTGAGGAGGACAGTTTCCTAAAGAAAGCTGTGGAATGGGAGTCCGCCAAAATTGCAGGTGCAGCTGCTTAAAAGTGTTTTCTTCGGTTTTCCCCAACTATTCTACTTCACTTCTGTTTAGCTGACAGTCTTACAAGCATTTTACCTTTTTAAATTATCAATGTTGTATAATTCTTTTTGGGCATTAAATCAAACAATTAATACTCCTTTTTGGCTGAGGATGGCAGTAGTTTAACAATCCAGATTGGTGCTCATCTCCACTGATTCAATATATCTCCTTGTTCATCCAATTTGTATATTAACGCAATCAATAGAGGAAAGTATTTGTCAATCTGTCAAGCAGCATCCAGGGTAGCTTTTGAAGGATTTCATGACGGTGTTATTGAAGTAAGAAGTCGAAAAATCGTTTTTTGTTAATTTTGTTTTGGTTGTTGTGGGAGATGAAAATCCAACTTATTAGAATCCTCTGTCATACTCCATAGTAGCAGCCATGTCTAGTCAATGGACTATGGGAAATTCTTCTTTCACTGTTAGTTGACTCAGGACCCCCGAGTTGACTCCGCTCTCAAGTCTCAAGCATGGAAAGCCAAGTTATGGTGGTAATTTGTTTTCTATTCAGCAACCAGAAAAAAAAAAAAAAAATCAACATGACTACGACTCCTCTGTCTCTCGGCCGAGTCAGTTGGCACAATGGCTCCTAGCTTGACTCGATTTTCATTGATTCCTACTCTTGATTTATATCACTGTTTAAAAATTAATGAAAATCAGCAAAAAAAATAAGAAAAAAGGGAAACTAAGAAAGAATTAACGTATGGACAGGCCCAATGCAGATTTCTGATTTCAACTGTAGAGCTATAAACATTCAAAATGTTAAAAACCCCCACTCTACACATCAATGTCTGCCTGTGAATTGGCAGTCTGGCACCAATTCCGAGTTGGTACCCATCGCAATTGTACTTCGGGCCTAAAAATTCTGACCCTAGGTTGAACCGTCATTCTCTAGAGAATTAAACAAAATCGATTAACTCGATTCGATTTTGGTTCAGATATATTTTCTTGATTGAAAAGCTTCGGTTCGGTTAGGAAAACCGTGAACGCCCCGAAGTGACATACTGACGTGACAATATGGCATACTTCACTAGTAATAGAAGGGGAGACGTGCTAATTTTCCTTCTCCATTTTACTCCCTTTCCAATGCTTTTCGCTTTTGATCGCCTTCTACTTCTTGCCGATTAACTGATTGTCGCTCACATCTGTTGGGAAATAGGGTCATTGAAACTTGGAGGAGAAGCTTTGAGGTGTGTCTAAAGACATTGTCTTTAGAACGTTATTTTCCCCCACTCAGTTTCACTAAGTTTGTTGTTGGGTTATAAGTAAATCTGTTCCCAAGATACAACAGAGCCTTGGCGAGAATCCGCAATCGGCAAAGTTGAAGAGATTCTGAAGAAACCTTCTGTGAGCCAGTAGTAGACCGGACTGAAAGAGAGACAATGACTTTCGAAATTGTGTGTGCAAATGCTTGATTCACGCTCCTTAAATAAATTCTCAAGAGTCATTGAGCAAAGGAATGTGCTGGTTCAGAAAAGGCTCCTTAAACAGTCACAACTTTAAAAATTGTGATTGTTAAAAGGCAATTAATAGTTAATGACTGTTAACTTTGAATGATGCCTCTTAATCACACCTGATCGAATCATGGCCGTTGATCACATCAACAGTCAACCTTGCACCAAAAGCCCACGCCGCCTTTCGCGAGCCACGCGGGTGCGAGCAAAGTGCGCCTCTAAAGCGCCTCATTGCGCCACACACACACTCGCATGCATGTTGCACAGTAGCGAGCCTCCATACTCTCCTCTTTATATCTAAGGAATGTAAATCAACTCCTATTAAAAATCCCAAAACAATTCTTGTAATTTTCCAATGTGAGACAAGTTATAAATTGGCTTTAGTAAGAGAAAAGTTATTTTTCAAAACATGTGTTCAGGTGTGTTTTCTCATGTAATTGACCAATCAAACCCCATTGAATTTAATCTCTAATGAAATTAAAATCCAACAATTCCTCCGTTGTCACATTACTTTCGACTTGCTTCGATCCAATAGACATGTAGTATAAAAATTATAAAATAATGAGCTTTTGATAATGTTTAAATAAAACATTGCTCTCTTTTTCGCGATGTTGATAATATTTGAACTTTAAAAACCTTTTTTCCACGGTTACAACTAACTGTAGTTAAGTTTCGCCTTTTTTGCTTCCCACCATAAACAATACTTCGCGCCAAAACCTTTTTGCCACGATTACTACTAATTGTAGCTAAATTTCACCTTTTTTGCTTCCCACCAGAGCCAATACGTTGCGCCAAAAGCTTTCGATGACGTTAGTGGTAAACGTCATAAATAATTTAACTTTTAAATTTTAATGGTGACATTTACTTCAAACATCACCCAAAGTCTACACGAATTTCTTTGGGAGAATGACCAATCAGCCCATATCAGAATTTTATAGCCCCAAAGTACAGGGGGAATGATTCCTGATCGTGAATTGATGCCAAATTCACGGGCGGGATGTGGTTTATAGGGGGGAGAGGGCTAGTAGTAGGGGGGGCTGGAATTCAGAATTCTGCATCGTTTATCTGTACTTCTCCGAATTTCTTTTTGTCCAAAACTGCTTTCATAGATATATTATTATTATTATTATTATTATTAAGAAAATTTTTTTAAACTAATCCTGTTATTAGGAAAAATTTGTCTTAGAATACTCCTAAGTTTTTTTACAATTGACTAAAACTTTCCTACCATTAAATTTCCGTCGCACTTGGTCATATATGACATCACATCACTGATATTTTTTTAAAAATAATTTAAAATTCTCTCTCTCTCTCTCCTCACCTTTTTCCCCTCTATCACGGAATTGCCGCGCTACAACCTCGTCAAGCCAAAGAAGGCACCTTTCCTCTAGTGAGGTTGCCTAGAAGCAGTGCTGAAGATGGGAGAGTTTAGATATCAGACTTAGAGATGAGAGTCTAGATCTCATATTCATGCCGCTCCTTTGGCATCGTTTTAAAGCTCATTGAAATTTGGTGATTGAGACCCAGATCTTAGTCCGAACCCCCTTTCTGATCTGCACACTGAACACCGCAACCTAGAACCTTCTTTCTTATTTTCAAAAACTTAGTTGGTTGGAACTACACATCGTCGTGACCACCCCTTCCGATCTCAGACTCATGCGTGTGCTCGGACGTGCTCTGTTCCGTGGCGGTGTAGCTTTGTGCAAGTTCGCAGAGCTGCATTGGTTTGATCGGGAGGCGGGACTTGCGTTGGAAGATGATGAGGTCTTTGCCTCATAGGGTGCATCTCTGGGTGGCGTTGAAGAGGCGCTTGGCAAAATTGCTAGTGGCAATGCAGATTTTTGACAAGTCAAAGAACTGAGGTTTCTCGGGTAAGGTATCTCGGAGGTCTAAGAGGGAAGGTCTCCTCTCTCATCTCTGCCAACCGCTTCTTCTTGTACTCTTTCAAGGAATCGGTCATTGTCAAGATCAGGATCATCTTCAAGCTCTTCAATCTCCTTTTCACTCTCGCGCTAAAGGTCGTCAGCAACAAAGATAAAGGACCCTTGCAGCGGCTAAAATCGCCGTTGACAATGGAAAGCTCCTCTTCAACTCACGCTAAAGCTCCTCTTCATTCTTGCACAAAAGGTCATCAGCGACGGAAAGAGGGAGATAGAGAGGAGGAGGGAATCGAAGAAATCTCCTTGGTCAGTTCTAGACTACTAGGAGAGAGAGAGAGTGCCAGGTTCGCGAGCTTCTTGGTATGGATTTGCTCCGTTGCTTTGTATCCTCCCAATCTCGGCGCAGTGGCAGAGCAGCGACACTCCTTTATCCCCTCCGACCTCTTTTTCTCAAACTCTCTTTCTCTCGCTTCCCTCTATCTATCTCCTTTTCTTTCTTTCTTTCTTTCTTTCTTTCTTTCTTTCTTTCTTTCTTTCTTCTTCTTCTTCTTCCACCTTTGATCAGCCCCGTTCTACATTCATCCCACTAGACGCAGCAGCGAACCAATATCAAAGAGCTATATTGAAATCGAGAATGATTATCTCAACCAATGCAAAGCTAAACAGCCTATCGGGACCTAGCAGTTCCGGCATTGGATGCAGAGTTACTAGACTTGGACCTAGGCGACGATGACCAGACTGAGGAAGATGAAGAACGGGAGGAGAGAGTTAAGGGCAAAATGAACATTTCAGCCCTTCCACCAATATTTTAACCGCAGTGGTAATTTTCAAATACAGTAAGGATAGTGTTAGACAATGTATTATTAGCTAAACCATAAGGTAGTTTGAGAAATGTAATATTATTAAAGGATTTGGGACTAGAACTCTAGAAGAGGTAAGGATTTGTGATTGTTCATTTATTATTATTATTATTAAAGGATTTGGGATTATAACTCTAGAAGAGGTAAGGATTTGGGATTGTTCATTTTTGTCAACATTTGGATGGTTAATAAAGAAAATTAGATGACACTCGAAGGGCATTTGTGTCTTTTCAAATGCCACTTAAGGATTGGTTAACGATAGGTACTGGATTGACACATTTTGAAAGATCAAGTACTGAATTGTTGCATTTTAAAGTTCAGGGACCAAAGTGGCACCCCAAAGTATAGCCAATACTAATCGGGAATTTTCCCTTAAAATTATTTTGAATATTGAAATGTGATGGTGCATGATATGGTGCTCCCTATTGGCAGAAAGCTATAAAGAAAGATATCAGAGTGTCCGGGTTGCTTTATTCGGGGTGGGCACTCCAATGCTTAAGTCAGTGAAGAGTTTTGAGAGAGCTAAAAAGCGAGAGAGCTAGATAGTTGTGAGAGCTAAATGCACGTACCTTTTCTGTGAATGGGGATGCCTTTATATAGGCTAGTTGTTGTGAGGCTCACAAAGTGTATCCAAAATCTCTAGCTCATCTAGTTTGAAGGTGCACCTAGAGAGGGACTCTGCGTAAGTAAGTAGTGTCCATCGTGTCCGAAGCAGGTAGGGTCCGACTCTTCCAAAGTGGCGTCGTGATTTTGGGAAAGTCAAAGATGATAATTCATTGAACGTGGAGGTCACCCGACACATCAAGCAGGTCGCTAGCTGAACTCAGGCCAGGTTGGCGGGAGTAGGTCGCTTCTCTAGCCGACCTGGTGTCTTGACAGGCCATTTGTAGTTCAGTCTACTGAGGTCATCAGGG